GAGCACCCAATATAAAGACAAAAGCACCCAATATAAAGCTGAAAGCACCGAATATAAACCTAAAAGCACTGAATATAAAGACAAAAGCACCGAATATAAAGACAAAATGCCATGACTGTCTTATGTGGTGTTTCTTCTTTATATGCTGTGCTTTTTTCTTTATATGCTGTGCTTTCTTCTTTATATGCTGTGCTTTTTGCTTTATATGCTGTGCTTTCTTCTTTATATGCTGTGCTTTCTTCTTTATATGCTGTGCTTTCTTCTTTTTATGCTGTGCTTTCGTCTTTATATGCTGTGCTTTTTGCTTTATATGCTGTGCTTTTTTATTTGTATGCTGTGCTTTCGTCTTTATATGCTGTGCTTTCTTCTTTATATGCTGTGCTTTCTTCTTTATATGCTGTACTTTCTTCTTTATACTCAAAATCTTTATCTTGAATGTCCTTATGTGGTACCCAATATTCCTATTTCTTCTCGCGGACAGTGCTTCTAACATGAAGTTTTACTCAAGGTAATAAAAGATCGCAGGCACCTAATACATTAAATGGCGGTATGAAGTTTTTTTACGGACAAAATATCAGAAATCCGTAAATCGATCTTACATGCCATAAAACTTGGCCACACGCAATCATATTAATGTTATGGTTAATCATATTGTTATGGTTGTACAATGAAAAGCAAAACATAAATCGAAAACGAAATCCATTACATTTATGTCGAAGTACACATAAAATTAAGTCATAGACTCATACATTTAAAACATGAGGAAGTTGATTGAAATAAAACATGAGGAAGTGGAAATGAATATGCAAGAAGCGGAAGTGAATCATTGCGATATATGTGAACAGCTATTCTATTGTTTTGTATTTGTTATGGCGTGTGTAGGACCAAGAATTTGGCTACCAAATACAGATGATTTTTTTAGGGAATTGGTTAATTTTGTGATAAACGCTGAGCAAAATCGTGCAGCTTGTGACTTGCCCGACTTTTATTGTCGAAGATTAGAACAGTACCAACATACACTAAGCATTTTAACAAGGAGGATTACGGAGTCATATCACACTGAACAAGAACTCATAAGCAATCTAGAAGTTCTCCTGAATTATTTGAATACTCTTAGAAATCAATTTGAAGCTCTGTCTGAAATCTTTGATCGGACCTCCACACAGAATTTACTGCAAGAGTCTTATGACCAAAGTATCTGTTTGCCTGAATACAACGGTAGAGTGGGAAGACCAAGGATACATGTAACACAAGAGCAGTTAAACATACTGCACAATACAGCTGGCTTTTGATGGGCTGATATTGGAAGAATTTTAGGTGTTTCAGAAAGAACTATTAGACGGCGTAGGCATCAGTTTGGGCTTGTAGTGGGTAGAGAAACTGCATTCAGCAACATCTCTGACAATGATCTGGACAGCCTTGTTCGTGAAATATTAGTCACTACACCAAGTTCTGGTGGTCGTCTCGTGGAAGGCAGTTTGAGGAGTAGGGGACTATGCATTCAAAGAAGACATGTGCAAGAATCCATAAGAAGAGTTGATCCAGTAATTAGAACACTCCGCTCCGCACTCTAATATTTGCCATAGTTTTACTGAATTAATTACCGTCAGAAACATTCTCTGGTACATCCACCATATTGTTTATCCCTGCAATGCATCATGGTGTATGCTATCCAAAAAATTTATTTCAAAAACTAAATTTTTCAATAAACATTTTGTGCAAATTGCAAAAGTGATTTTCAACAAAAATTTTGAAAGAAAAACAAAGACAAAAATAAAAAGTTGAAACACAAAAATAAAAAGTTGAAACAAAAATAAAAAGTTGAAACACAAAAATAAATGTTGAAATACAAAAACAAAATTTGAAACACTAAGGGGCCATTCACAAAGGATGTCCGTCCAGTATTAACTGCATAATCCTTATATATAAAAGTAAACAATACCCTGTTTTGAAGGGAACTTACTTTAATTTATATTCACCAAACTGAGAATGCCAATGTTTTGCTGGATTTTTATATCATTTCTACATGAAATATATTTGTAAAACTGACTTGTATCAAACAAATATCTCTTTATAAAATGTTTAATATAAAATGCTTAATATATTGATACCCCCCCCCCTATGTCCAAGTTTGTCCTGATTTTCCAAACCCCCCGTCCCCCTTGGCTCAGACATCCTTTGTGAATGGCCGCTAAAATAAAAAGTTGAAACAGAAAAATAAAAAGTTGAAACAGAAAAATAAAAAGTTGAAACACAAAAATAAAAAGTTGAAACACAAAAATAAAAAGTTGAAACACTAAAATAAAAGTTGAAATACTAAAATAAACAAGTCCAAGTTCGTCCAGACGCATAATGCGTCTCTATTATGCGTCTCCAGTATAAAAAGGCCATTATGTATCAGTGTATTGTATTGTAACTTTACAGTACTCACCCGATCTCATGACCTTGTTCACCATCTAGCACTCTTTCAAACAGCGAGGACAATTCCCTGTACAGTCGAGCCTCGTCCCACTTTTTGTCAAGGTGAAAAGCGTCAACGAACAGCCCTTTTTCGACCAATCCCGCCTTGGCCAAACCACACAGTAACTACATTCCAATCAGGATTGGGTAGCAGGCAGACATCTTTATAAACCAATTCTGGTTTTTCTGCCACAGTGCTTTTCTGTATGTTTACCTCCTTTAGAATTCCTTCGTCCTGCGCGGCGTTGGAAGCTATAATTTTGCCTCGGATTAAAGTCGGAAGAAGACACCCTTCTTGTTAGAGGTTGCGGGTGTAACGCTGTTCTAACCATGCGGTATTTGAAATCTTGAATTCAACTCCTCTGTTGGCGTTGAGAACTGCTGAACCGAATCATTTATTCGTGAACTTGCATTTCCCCCGGATATTTGCGATGAATGTGGTAGATTTGTTATGGCGCTTAAAACAGATTGTACAATATCCTGAACATTTGTTGGCCTTCCTTGTCGTGCCTGGCTATTTCCGTCCATGTTTAAAGTACTATAAAAGTAGAAATTATTCCTGACAACATAAACACAATTTTCCCGCTTTTTACCAAAACAATCGCAATGATTCACTTCCGCTTCTTGTATATTCATTTCCGCTTCCTCATGTTTTATTTCAATCAACTTCCTCATGTTTTAAATGTATGAGTCTATGTCTTAATTTTATGTGTACTTCGACATAAATGTAATGGATTTCGTTTTCGATTTATGTTTTGCTTTTCATTGTACAACCATAACATTAATATGATTAACCATAACATTAATATGATTGCGTGTGGCCATGTTTTATGGCACGTAAGATCGATTTACGGATTTCTGATATTTTGTCTGTAAAAAAACTTCATATGGCGGGAAAAATTACTGTAAGCTTGTAACAGTGAACTCTAACCACTGAGCTATACTTAATATATCTGGAGATTGTGCTCTCAACGAAAGTGTGTGACCAAAAACATGGCGGATTTGACGTCACAATCGACCTATTTTCATGGCAGTTTCCACTGACCCATGGCTCGAATGTCTGTGGGCGACAAAATTCAACCCCCCTGATTTTACAGTGATTTATCATTTATGTACTGTTGTTTGTATTAGTTGATCAACGATGGAGTGTATTTTGATTTTCGTCCTTTTGAAAATACAGTATTATTCTAACTGCGCATATAAATCAATAAAGACCGAAAGCCATTAATAAAAAAAGCTTGACGGCCACAAGAACAAAGCATGTAAGTCATTGAAATGATTTATCAATTCTTGTTGTATTGTGAATTTGTGTTGCAACTGACTATCAAGATTATTCTTTAAAACACGAGTATTATAACAATCCCCAGCAAGTAAAATTAAGCAAATATAGCTTGTTGAAAACCGTACTGCTATAAATTTCCCAATGTAAATTTCCCTGAGTGACAAAGGTTTTTTTAGAGATTTTAATACCAGTTTATTCTATTAGTAAATTGTGGGGAAAAGCAACTCTTTGGAATATAAAGCACTTATATCACCATTAAAGTTTTTTACACCTGTATGTATTCCGCTTTCAGGTATGAATTTATCAAGAAAATATGGGATATCTGTATTAAGTACCAGGTGGCAATGAAGAAAGTCAAGTGTATTTCTTTATAATGGTCTTCCTTGTAAAAGGCAATGGCACTATTTCATTGAACATTCAAGGAACAATCGCCTTTTAAAACAAATATGCACATTTTTATGCTCGAGTTACAATGTTTGATTTTGATATCTGCATTTTATGAGATTCATACCTTATTTTAAGTGTTCCTCAAATATTGATTCAATACATTACCTTGGGCTGACCAATTCATTCCATCAAGATATTTGCTGTGTTGGTGTAATACATGTACTCAGGTGAATAAGATGCTTGTGTGATGTTACGTACTCTGAGTGGATATCCACACTGGGCAGGCTTGAAAAATATGCCTGACCACAGTGGGATTTGCACCTACAACCTTTGGAATACTGGCCCAATGCTCTGCCAACTGAGCTATACAGTTGGGGCAGTTCAAGTATGCGATATTTCGGAACTGAGTCTAGTTCCTTCGATATCAGTGTAATCTAATAACCATGATATTTGTGAATATGATGCTTGTGTGATGTTACTCTGAGTGCATATCCACACCGGGCAAGCTCGAAATATATGCCAAGCCACATTGGGATTCAAACCGACCTGACCGCGTAGCTCAGTTGACAGAGCATTGGCATTTGGGCTAGTATTCCAAAGGTTGTAGGTTCAAATCCCACTGTGGCCAGGCATATTTTTCAAGCCTGCCCAGTGTGGATATACACTCAGAGTAACATCACACAAGCATTTCATAAATTCCTCCAGATGTTCATATACTTCCTGTGAAAGAGCCAATTCCAAGTATTTAATCATTTCTGGTCACTTCCTTTCTATTTATGATTGGTTAGTTGCACAAACAACAAAGGTGATTGGTGCATTCAAACTAGTCAACAGGAAGTTTACAATTATACTAGAAAGTATATGAATATCTTGAGGAACTTAATCAAATGAATTGGTTAGCCCGAGGTAATGTATTGAATCAATATTTGAGGAACACTTCAATTGGAATGACAGTGAAGAATTATTAAAAAAAATATTTTATTCAAAAAAAGATTTTCCAAGATAATTATATAATTACATTTAGTAATAAGAATAAATAATATATTCAATTTCAAATCACAACAAAATTTATTCTTTATTGTTAAACACATATACAACACCAATTTAATTAAATAAACTGCTCAACCAATTATATGCATGTCAATCCCTACTTGATGGTCATAAATTTCATGAATTCACAAATTTACGCATTCAATAAAGCAATACAGCATGCGTTAAATTATTACAAAAAAAAGAGATTATGCGAGCTTTACGCATGTGAGGACAGGTCCTTTCTTTCAGTAGATTTTTGGCAACCAGGAATTGAACAAAAAGTTGGCATGGTTGCAAATGTCTCGTTTCAATATAGAAATTTCCGACCAAAATTTTGAATTTACTATTTTACTTCCTTCTGTTTTAAGCAAATTGAAAGGGGGGTGTGAATACCTTTTTTCTTCACGTTAGTATTTTAGGTCAGTGGTGTTCACCATAAATTTAGGTCGATTGTGACGTCAAAATGACGTAAATTTGGCCAAAATCCGCCATGTTTTTGGCCACATATTTTTGACTGATGCAGTGGCGTAACGGGAGGGTGTCAGGGTGTCCAGTGACGGGGGGCCCCAGAACTTTAGGGGCCCCCGACGAAAATGACCATAAAAAATTTGATAGCACATTTCTGAGGAATTGAATTCATTGAATTGAATTTTTCTTTAGAAAAACCATTCTCTGGAAAAGGCTAAATCCGTGGAGAAGCTGAGACGGATTAAGTACGTCGCGACTGAGGAAAAGGACGATATACTAGAATGATTTAATCCCAATATCATTTGGTATGTCTGGAAAAAAATTTGGACCCCTAAAATGGTACACTGACCGAAATTTTTTTGGCGAGGGAGGGGTGGAGGTCACCAAAAATAAATTGTTCCGAGAAAAATTTTTGGAGCCTATTTTTAGTGAAGCAAAGGGGGCCCAAAGTGGCTGATTGACGGAGGGCCCCCAGCGGTTGTGTTACGCCACTGGACTGACGAGGTATTGGAGCACGATCTCCAGATATATTAAGTATAGCTCAGTAACTCTAACACAACTGGAACGATAACTTGGCCGCCATCTTTGAAGCCACTCATGATGGCCGCCATGTAGGTATGGAGTGCAAAATACGCCGCCTAAAAGATGTCTGTTTTCGACCACTAAATAGCTGTATTTCAACAAGGAAAAAAGCTAAAAACTTTCAACAATACCTGAAATTTAATACAAAACATGTTTCCAGAACGTAGAGCAGTTATAAAGTTCTTTTTTCAGTTGTCAAAGTGTGAAGTTTTTTTCGGCACGTTCAAACTTGTGTAATATTTTGAATAGGAAACTGTTACCCGGGATGTTTGTGCTGTTACTGGATGTAAAATACTTAGAACTATGCAGGAAACCAGTTTTGAACTTTTAAAAGCGAGCCGCCTAGTGAAAAATGTCCTTTTTCTGCGTATTTTTGCTTAAAAACAAAGTTTCGCATAAATTTAACTCTCCCCAGTCCTTTTTTCAAAGTCAGAGTGTAAAAAGATCTCAAAAAGTCGCAGAAAAAAAATTTTAACTTGGTTTTAAAAAACTAATCATGCCCATTGCTTGTGTAATAGCTAGTTGTTACAAGGCGAAAAAAATACAAACAGGGTCAAAAACTCAAACAAAGTGACAAAAACAAAGGTTGCATTTCACAGGTGAGGATTTTCGAGTTATATTGTAATAATATAAATACACACACAAAATAAGTATACTTCAAAATAACAAATTTACAAGAATTTGTAATTATTGACTGGTACGAAGACTGATTAACCCATTAAGTTGCACTGCACTCTCATTGTACTGTACATTATTATTTTACTCTAATTAATGCTAGACAATTTTACTCATTGATGGGAGAGTGCTGGCACTCAATACAGTAGATTAAACTATTCATTGGCAGGACTCTACCACTGACGAGTAAAATAGTCTGATGTACGTAGACAGAGTAAATACTAAAGTAGGGTGCATTGCCATTCAGTGGGCTAATAAGAAACATTGGCAGATAGGTTTGTTAACCCATTCACTGGCAGGACTCTACCACTGACGAGTAAAATCGTCTGGCATTAGACAGAGTAAATACTAAAATAGGGCGCATTTGGGTACATTGCCAGTCAATGGGTTAAGGGGGTCTTCCACCCTAAAAACATTTTTTTCAATTTAAAGGTTTTATCATCATATTTGAGTCAAATATGATGGAATATCCTCAGCTGATGCAGGATCAGTAACTTTTACATTCGTCGTTGCCATAGTATCTAATATAGGCCTCGCTATAGGGTAAAATATAGGGTTTGTTCCAAAAATGATGTGAGCCAAACTAATTTACCGAGGATTTTAGAAACAGCTTTAATAGACACTTAATACATCGATCTATATGTCATGAACCTAAAAAAATATACAAGTAATATAATTATATATTTTACTTTTTTAAAATTATATGAAGAAAGGAGTTCTTATAAGGCTACTCTTGCAATGTATATTGCTGATATATGAAGTTTTTTAGGTCCATGACATGGCTATGTAACAAGCAAATAAACTCTGAAAATTTCGAACGAATTGATT